AAAAACACATTATTAAGAATAGGCGAAAAAAAAACCGCGATATTACTTAGGCCGAAAATGCATACTTGCTCCAAATCGGAAGCTTCGAAAATGGGAATCCCGATTTCCTCTATAGCAACAAGAAAATTCCGAACATTTTCGAAGTACTGATAAGCGGTAAGAGCAGCGCCATCCGGGATTATCACCGTGTCGGGAGGAGTCTCAACTACCTATAAACACAAACCAAAACTGAACCAAATTATAATATTTCAAAATAGGTAAAAACAGAATAAAAAAACTAAAACAGAGGAACCTTTGAAAAAAATGAAGTTGAGAGTCGAAGAAAAAGAAGATTAAACTACTAACAAAAGCCATACTTTTGTCACGGCGCCAGGCTCGATTTTGTTGAGCACATTGCAGAGTATAATCCCACTTCTTAAGCCGAGCCTAAAGTCATCTTCTGAGGGCTCGGCAGGAAGATCTTTAGCGGCCACCACGCCGGCCGTTTTTCTTAGCCAGCTGGCAGCATCATATCTTCTTAATGCTGCAATTAACATATGAAGGGAAAAAAAAAATTGAAACTTTATTCGTTTTTTACGGCCGATTGCTTTTGTTACTTGACTCGAATTTTGAAAGTAAACAAAAACCGACGAAATATGTCAAAAATGGATATGGTTGAAGAAAGGAAAAATTGAAGTTTAGTCGTGACACCAAATTTAGAAATAGTCCGATACGTGTGTTGATTTTACAAAACACATTATAACTGCAAAACAAATTGACTTTTGGTCAATTTGACCGGCTGCTGAGTTGAATATGTTGGTCGGCTGCCACTGTGTACAAAAAAAAAAAAGGAAAAATAATATCCACGTCAGCAAACGGTCATAGGGACCGACTTTTGTCGGTGGATGGATCAAAAGTCAATTTTTTTAAGGATGTTTTGTAAAGTCAAAGCCATCACCGAGCTATTTTTAAATTACGTGTCAATTAGAGGACTAAATCTCCAATTTTTTCCATTGAAGGAAATACGACGAAGATTATTAATCAATGGAATAATCATAATTACAAGCTTCTTGAGCTTTTCGTGAGGCCAAATCAATGTCGTCGAGTCTTTTCCTGTGCTGTTGAAGAATGTCTTCAACCATTGAAGCCACGTTGAATTGCAGAATTCCTTCTGCCATTTGACTCTGCATGTGTAAGAACAAAAAGTAAAATAAAATAAATAAAATCAGGCTCGGATTACAAATATCGATCGAAATATATATCACGAATAATCCGAAAACATGGATATTGTTTTTTCGGTCGTGTGCATGTGTTTAGAAGATCTTCGTACATGTACGGATACAGAGTTATTGTCTGAAGGTGGAAAAATGTGTGCTTGTTTAATGTGTCATAGCCTCATAGGTTTCAATGGTGAGAGATTGTTTATTTTATTTTCTTAATTTTTAGTAGAAATGAGAGGAAGATGAAGGCAGAAAATTGTAGAAAAAGAGAGTTTTTTTTTCTTTTTTTTTTTTCTTTTTTATCTTTTAAAAAATTATTAAAGATAAATTAACGTTGTGAAATAGTTTTCATTGTTTTGATCTCTAATTTTAGAGCTTCGCGGTCATCCATGCCTTGTATTACTGGTTTTTCTCGCTCTGCACATCTCTATATTGTTCCTCTTAATTTCCTCTACTTTATTTCAATTTTCAGTTATGGGTTATTTGTCTAACTTTTTCCCTATATTTAGTATAATGGATTCTAGGTTAGAATGCACAAGCTTAACAACATTTTGTAAATAACTAATTTATAGATTACATCAAATACAATCTTTTTCAGGACTCGTGTATACTTTAAGACTGCTTGCGATTGCATATATAATCTTTTTTCTGTTTTGTTTGTTCAGCTAAGATCTATCTCATTTTAACTAAAAATGCGAATAATCTACCATGAAAATAGTTGATATTTACCAATTAATATATATACCTTTGTGTGGATGTCATATTGTGTGACATTATATTACTTTATGAGAGTATCAATCTCTTTAATTAATTCTATTAAGTTTTGCTACAACCTTTTAACCATCCTAATCCTGTATAATTTCTTAAAGTAAATCAACAAAAATCTAATCATGTTCTTAACAAAACTCATAAGTTCAGTGAATGCTTTTGTGGCACAAGACAAACCAGTGACTGAGTAATTTGGATTTTGTTAATAATATAGATTGGTTAGTGAACGACAAGCAAATTCAATCTGTTCTTGTTCCTTGACAGCCCACAAGTAACATGCCCCAATCAACTTAATAAAAATACATGTGTCCCTTTATTATTATTTTTGTTTTCGTTCATACTGTTTTTCAAAGAATCATAATTGATGATTTAATTTAAGTATGCAATGCGGTCATTATGTAGTCTTTACATTCTTCACTATCGATCAATACATTTATATGTAACATTAACCAATTGAACTTTATTGACAAGTTTGATTTGTCAAACTTTTTGAGCCCAAAACTACTATATATTAAACACATGTCAAATTAGTTGTTACAATTGACTACTTACAACTGCTATTTAATTATTAATCCAATCAACTATTCACTAATAACCTTTTGCTAAATTGTTTGAAACATAATTATTACTAACAAATGTGACCTTTGCTTAACTGTTTATGTTGAACTAGTACGTGGCCCGTGCGATGCACGGGGAAACAATATTACGCTTGTGTCATAAGTTAAACAATATAATTCACCTATTATTTTCAAAACAAGACCGGACCGAACAGTCCGACCGAATAGACCGGTAATCGGTTTATCGATCAGTTCGATTAACTTAAATAAAATGTTTGCTTACAAACCGGTCAACGCCAGTCGGTTTTGGTGTTCGGTTGAACTGGTAAAAACAGTACGATATTTAAAATATATTGTTATTTCCTTTTATTGTCGAATTTGAAAGTTTGGCCATTATTTTTGCATTAAAAGTTTATATGTGATACGATTTATTCTTCCAAATTTCTAGATATTTATGTTAATAAGATATTGGTCATAGGTTGTTGATAATGTTTGTTTCCAAAAAATACTAAAGAAAAATGCAAGTACATCCTATACAGTTTTTTAATTTTGAACCAAGATGTGCTTTCTAAAAAATATTGATACCTATTAATAAGACCGTATAAATTTTTAATTAATATGTACATTATTTTTGCATCAAATTTTAATTTCTTTAATTGAGTTATTATCACGAAATTCAAGACAATTTACCTTGATATTGTAATCGGCTCAAATTAATCAATATGTTAATAAGGTTTGTTTACAAACAATTTTAAGGATACCAATATTGTACTATTATATTTTTTTAAAACTTTAACAAAAAAAAAAAAGTGCACAAATCTTTGTAAAATTAGAGCACGGATATTTTTTAAATAACTACAAAATTCGTAAAATATGGAATGTATTTAATTCCATATTAATCAAAGTAAAATACAAAAATATTTTCAAAATAATTAATGCACCATTTTCAAGTGGGTTTGAAAAAAAAAAACCCATGGATATTTGTAGATTTGAAATACGAATCTTTTTAAAATTAATCTATAGATCCAATATGTAAAATATGATGATATCTTTTTAAAATTGATCTAAATATTAAAAGATGGAATGCATTTGATTCCATATTAACTAAAATAAAATACAAAAATATTTTCAATATAATTAAAATGGAGTTCTGAAGTTGGGTTGAGAAAAAAAAGTGTTAATGGATATTTGATTAAATAGAGCAGGTACCTTTATAAAATAGCTCTAAATATCTCACATGTAAAATATAAAATGTAGTTGAGTACATATTAAACAAAACAAATCTATCAAAAATAATTAAAAAGGCTTTAGTAAATCGATTTACAAAAATATGGACATATTTTCCTTAAGTGGTAAGTCAACAAATTTGACCAAAAAATTAATTAAACTGTCCACAAATGAATTTTCCATCAACCTCTTTCAATATATATAGATTAATGAATGTTGCTGTCAAATAATTTTAAAAAGGATTGGTATTGAAATAAAACTCAAATTTTTAAAAGCATTATTGTACCAAATTGAGCAATTTGGTTACCAAAACTAAATATCCGTGATTGAAAGCGTATTTAAATGTTTCTCATTTAATAAATAAAAAATAAAAACAAAACTTGCCCGAAATGGTATGCAATTAATGTTGCCAAATTTTTTGCTTACTATTTTTGGTAAATAGTAATTCTTATTATATACTAGTACAGAGCTCATGCGATGCACGGGGTGCACAATTTTAAGGCTATTTATCGGAGGCTTATAATTATATACATAAATAAAGAAAAATGTACGTGATATATATATTACGTAACCCGTGCGAAACAAGAGATATATTTATTTGGAGAATATTATATTATAAGATGCAATATTCAATAAAAGTTTATAATACGCAAGAAAATTGTACAATGTTCAATAAAAGTTTTATAATATTCAAGTGGAGTCTTAAAGTCTCTTGTACATTAAGACTACTGACAAAATAATATTTTAATCAATGAGTTTCCTTTCCTTGTAGCCAAATTGTGAATGTGATTTGAGGAGTACAACAAATCGATATATAGCTGACTTGCTTTTTTCATTGTAGTTTTTTTTCTTTTTTTTTTATAATGAATTTAAAGATACTCTAAAATATAGCAAAAAATAATTTTTTTTGTTATAATTAGGAATTTTACTAAATATAAACTCTCAATCTATGGTGTTAATCAACGTTTAAGTCTAAGAAATTAAGAATTTTTACCTCTTTTAATCAACGTTTAAGTCTAAAAAATAATAGAGTTATTATAAGTTTTTTTTCTACATCTTTTAAAATATTAAATATGAGCATGTTAGGCTAGCTAATAAAATAATTAATATATTATCTCACTAAAATATTTATACTAATAAAATGTAATTTTAGCATATAAATTTATCCCTTGATATAAGAGAAAGTAACAGTTTTACTTATTGTTGTTCACCATATAATATTTAATTATTATTTTATTATATAATAAAAAAATATTGTTAAATAGTGTAGTAGAATTGTTATAAAATTATATGATTTTTTTATTTACAATATAGATTTAATATTTTTTTATGATTTGATAATATAAACAAATCTATACTTAACTTTGACAAATAAAACAAAAAAATACTTTAGTAAGTATTTAATGTATATATTAAATAGGAATATATTTGGTATAATCAAATACCAAATATAATCAAATAAGTCAAAGTGTACATTTTTATTTGGTATTTGATTTTTTTATTATTAAAATATTTTTATTATACTTACCTTTTTAAAATAAAATAAATAAATAAATCAATTAAATAAATAAAATATTATAATACCAAAATAGTAATGACATTTAATGCAGTTGACTTTTCTGGATAGTACATGTAGTAAATAGAATCTCCTTTTATATAAGTATAGATTGTATAATACAGAAATAGTGATGTAATAAATGTTGTTGACTTTTCTTTATACTAAATCTGGTAAATGGTATACCTTTTAATATAAGTATAGATATATAGATACGTGTCTTTTGTTAATTTTNGCAACTCGAAATCATTAAATTTTTCGAGTAAAACAAATAGAAGTTGTTGAATATGTTTTTGTTAATTTTATTCTATTTTCCTTTGCCGATTTCTTTTTGTGTACAAATATTTATTTATATTAGGTGTTTTATTTTTAGTACAATATTTGTTATTTGATTTCCTTGTGATATTAGATGTCTTGGCTACGAAAGAAAGAGATAAGAGGAGAGGAGATTTGGTGGTGATTCTGAGACGAAAAGAGGGTGAGGAGGCGTGAAGTAGGGTAGAGAGAAATAAAACGGAAGTGCAGCAGCAACTTTTTCTCTTGAGGCTTGGGAATATAGGGCAGCACACAATCTTTGACTTATGTGAATTGAAGCCGCAGGAGAAAACAATAAAGAGGCTGCAGATTGAGCGTTATTCTTTGGAGCAAGCAGCAGGGGGTGTGAATCAGACAAGAGAAAGGAGCAACAAATATATTTTTCATGGAGCTTTGATATTTTTTTTATCTATCTCTTTGTATGATTTATTTGATGATATTGGTGTGATATAGTTCATATAATTATCAAACTCGCGTTTTGTGTTTTTCATAGTTCACTAGATATTTTTAGATTGGATTAAAAACTTTGTAGTTATTTTATTTTAAAGAAATTTTGGCATGTGGTCTTAGTCTACAAGTGTATATTCACTTGTAAGTTAAATTTTGCATCATTCGTGTTTATTATTTTCTGCTGCATATTTTAATTTTTATCTTTGTGTGAAAATCTGGAATTTTCGGTACCTAAAATTCTAACAGTTTAGAATATAGTTTTTGCTAACGGTGGTGTTGTTTTCCTTTTTTTTTGGGTTCGACTTTACCGATTGATATGTAGAAATGTACCATCTTCTACACATTGTGTCAGTCATTATAGCTAAAATCATTAAAAAGAAAAAAGATTTAGCCAAAAACTGAAATGAAGTTTATTTATTACTGAAATATTAACATCATAATATACACAAATCATAAAATACACAATTGATCATATGATTATGATGATGATCTCCTGTACAAGTACAATCCTTACCACAAAATGAAGCGTGTCACAAACTAACAAATACTATTAATTAAGCACAATTTTACTTTATATATATATATTTTTTTTTTCTACACAGGATTAAAAACTCGAGCAAAGCCAGTAATGGCGCCATAGCTTCTGTACCTGAAGCCCAAACAGCCGAGCAAGCCCTGCCTGTAGGGCAAATACGTCTTTTTCCTCATCTCCTCCGCCTGCGCCCTTTTTGCGGCGTAGTGCGCCTCGTGCGCCGACAGCCCCTTCCTTTTACCCGCCCCATCTTTTTCACCACTAAATTTACCCTCTTTACCGTCACTGTTATTATTTTTTCTATTGTTTAACCCACCGCAGTTACCCTGCGACGTCGTTTTCTTCTTGTTATCCTTGATGGGCGAGAAGGACAGTGAAACCCTGAACTTACTATTTTGCCCCTCGCTCTTGCTCCTGTACAGAAACTCCTTGAGGAGGACCCACCGCCGCGACGAGGATCGAGATCCAGGCGGCAGAGGCAGCGGCGGCGCTCCGTCGCCGTCGGGGATAGGCTCCCCGTCGTCGTTCGCCGTGCGTGGGGGCGACATGGATCTGGTCCTCCGGTGGAGGGATCCGGCGCGTGGCTTCGCCTCACGGCCGCGGACGGAAGTCCCGCGCTCGTCCGCCACGTCGGATTCGGCCAGGGGAGAGAGAGTCTGGGGCGGCCGCCGGAGGTGGGCGGAGAGACTGATCGGGCGGATCTGGCCGTTGCAGAAGAGCTCTTCGGCGGAGGTCATGTGCTCCGTGGCGGGGAAGCCGAACTCGAACGGCGCGTCGGCGTCGGAGGCGGGGGGGCG